GACAATCGTCAGCTTGGCTCTGTGATAATTATCTTGGTAATGGAGTACTGAGCTGGCTTTGGGTTTGTTGAGTGCTCGTGCTTATGGTTGGAGAACTAGGAGACGGCTTTTGACAGGGTTGCCAGTTCTTATCTTGGTTTGAGCAACGACCATCCCCACTGTGAGGTACGCTTTAGACTTTGTGCAGCGGCAGGAATAGAATGTATTTTCAGACTCTACTTTGGACGTTCATCCTCTGCTAAACTTTTTCCCGGTTCCTTTAGTGCTTATAGATAGATAGGATAGATAGGGTTCAGCCTCCTGATGAGTAGGTGATACTCCAACGAAATAGTTTGTCACAGCCCCTCGTTTGTTGTCCTCTTCTCCCTCCCTCTCTGCCTACGGTTTACTGGGCAGCTCTGTTTGACTATACATTCTTGACAAAATAGCTCCACATTTGTTCTTTGTGAACTTGAAGGGTAGGCAGGACTTTGAAGACCCTCCCTCCATTTCTGTAGGAGGTGTGATAGTGTAAAGAAGATGCAACTGTACGATCTGGTCAGGGAGGTCCGTTAGAACAGTCTTTTTGCTATAGGCTTGGGAAAACGTGCACAGGAACATGAAAGCATCTGACCCATGATAAGCAGAAGAAGACTTGAGAGAGAGACCATCCACTGGTTTGGACGACATGACCTCCGTACTCTTTTTGGGTAGAGTCTGGATGGACGGTGGCCAAAAGGAAGATATACGCCTCAACAGTGTACCAAGGATTTTGAGGACGTTTCAATTTTCTATGTTGCTTTTCTATGTCCTGTTTTGCGTGACCGTTCGCTGCTCTCGTGCTACCTCTTTGGAGCCAAACAGTTTCGGTTTTGCCAATCAGAGTGTCTGCTGCAAGATACCAAGTCTAAACGCAGATTGGGGGCTCTCCTGGTCGTAGATCCTAGATTGGGGTGTGTTCGTAGTGTGTTAGCCCCAAACCCGTGAACGGCGGTGAGGGAGGCATTCGCCACCTCATCTGGACGTTTCGGTATCAAATAGGGAGGATGATGCCGACCTCTTGATTGGAGAAGGGTTTATAAATCACCATACCTTCAGTGAGGACCTCCCTTGCCTTGTCGAATAGGTTTCTGGCGGTTTGACTGTGGAAGGTCGGACAAGGTGGAGGGGTTAATTTTGACTGTTTAGCATGCCTGCACTGTAACAAGTCGCCATTTGGATGCCTTGGACAGTTCTCCCTGTTTGGTATGTTGAGTATGTGTGGCCCTCTCACTGTTTTTCCATGGCATTTCCTTGTTTCTTTGTGATTTTTGTTCTTTTATGTCCGAGGTAGATAGGCACAACCCCGGGCATCCAAAAAAAAAAAAAAAAAAAAAAAAAAAACCGCGGGCAAGTGTTGTGCGGACAGAACTGGACTCTCGGTGTCTGTATCACTGTAGCCGCCCTGTCTGTGTGTTCCTAGCATGTGGACGCCATGTTGCTTGTGACGGGTGTTTTGGGAGTGCCATCCAGTGTAGTGTGTACGCTGTCAGGTTTGGATGCCCTGCTTCGACAGCCCTCACCTGAATCATTGAAGTCCTGTTTGTGGTTGAGGACCCATTCGTTCTGAGGGACCTGACCCCTCAGCGGCTGCTGCTTGTTAAACTGCCAGTACAGGGGCCCAGCCCTGCTGGAAAGAATACTCGTCGCCTATCCAGAAAAGTTGGCGCTAGAAATCAGCGTTGCTTTTCAGTCTCTGACACGGCCCCGTGGCCGATGCGAGGCATGTACTGGTGGTTTAACAAGTCTGTTGTGCTGGTGAGTGCTGAGTCTTTTCTCTCCGCTCTGACTCCCTCTGCAGAACTGCGGAAACGGAAGCATAGTTATCCTGTGTTCAACTACACAACGTGGTAAACGAGAGAGACAGAGAGAGAGAGAGAGACAGACGGAGAGAGAGAGAGAGAGAGAGAGAGAGAGAGAGAGAGAGAGAGAGAGAGAGAGAGAGAGAGAGAGAGAGAGAGAGAGAGAGAGAGCCAAATCGGTCTGAGCAGGGAAGTCATTTGAGGTGCCAGCAAGCAGGAAGGTGGAGTTTAAGAGGCCAGCGACTGGGATGGGTGAGAAATTCCTTGAACCAACAGTACATCCCAGTGGGCCAAAGTTTGATGAAATGCCAGCGCAGCGCTTTTTCTTTTCTTTTCTAGCATGCGCCGCCAGCCATTTTGGGGCCCAACCTTCAAACTTCTCAGAATGAGCCGATTTAGATTCTCAAGGTTCCTTGGGCCATGTACTGGTGTGTTTAAGCTTCCAACTTTCTGCTCTCTCACACACTTGGGTTTCCCTCCCTTTCTGATGATGCAGTACTTGGAATCCACGTGCGTATGGCCTCTACCAACCTCCTGGGCATGGGGGATTGAAGCTCCTGGCTGTGGTCTACAGAAGCTATAGCTCCATCACTCTGTTGCGCTCATGTTTTCACTGGGCGTGCTTCACAAAATGATGTGCTTCACGAAATGATATGAAAACCAGAGTAGTCAGGGTGACCGTTGGCATCTGCTGACCTCTTAGGGGCCAACCAGCCAACCCATCGATCAGCAGGAACTGGTCGGTGGGGTCCGCTGCAACAGACCAAAGTATTTTTTTCTCCGTTCTTCTTCGTCCCCTCCTCCACTACAGTGTGTTAGAACTACACGCATATGCCTCAAAATCCCGCTTATATAGGGCCCTTACCTGCCTAATCAAGCCGAGTACTGCTCGAGCTGCTGTTCATCAACCTTTTGCCCTTTGACATCTCATAAACTTTCCTTCTGAGGTTTCAACGTTGAAATGTTTGGAGTCGTACGTTTCCTAGCTGTTTTCTTCAACATCGCACTAAATCTTTCTGAATATCTGGCGTAAAGCAGATGCTTTTAAGTGGGTGCTAAAGAATATTCTACTGTTGAGGTAGTTCGGCCGTCCACATTGAAGTAGCTGGCAGCTTCTTGGAAGACACAAAAAAAAAAGGGCGCCTGAGCGCTTTTTTTGTTTTTTTGGCATGCAGTGTAACACTGCTTTGTGGCATGGAGACCCGGAAGTATTGTGGTTTGATGCTCCCGGCTGCACTGTATGTCATTAGGTCCATCTCTTGGATTCTGGGTCTTGTGTCATTAGCTGTTTGGTGGTCGTGAAATGGACAAGGACATGAGGCATCATGTCGGCAGCTGTCCGTGTCAAGAAATCTGAAGCATGAACACGATCTCCTTCGACCTGTGTTGAGGGCGGTCTGTGTATGCAGTCTATGCGAAGTCCGAATTTTGACTTTGTGGAGTACAGCAGATATTCCTCGCATAGTCAAGGTAAACTCGTGCTAGTTCCATGAAACCGGCCAGGCCACGAAAGGGTACATGTTACTTCTAAGAAACAAATTTAGGATCTCAAATGTTGATGGTGTCAGTTATGTTAGGGGTCAACCCCCTTGTAAGTAAAGGGGGGCTCAAGTGGCAGCATATGCTTTCTCCGTTTCTCACGTTTCGAGACTTATTGAAGGAGGCCATCTGTACAAGGAGCTTGGAATCATCCAGTTCCGGTACATCCTGTTCTGCAAGTATGTGGGCAGGCCTGTCTGATGTATGATGGGACGTTGGACCCGTTTTTCAGGAGGTGCTGCTCCTCACTAATACATCGGAGCAACCAGGAAGCTCGCTAGAGGGGGATGCTCTAATCACTTAGTCTAGCGAGGGGACTGGTCATTCAAAAAAACAAAAGATTGTAGATGCATTCTCAGGTAAGAGATTTTATCTTTTTTTTATCAGGCTGTGCAAAAGGTCTGACCGTTAGCTATGTTGTTCTTCGCTGCACTCTTGAATACAGATCGATTCACCTTAGATACTCTCTCACATTTGGGAGGGAGAGCGTACTTGCAAGGGTAGCCGGTTGAGGGCATGGGATAACAAGCAGGAACACAGGCGACTAGGAATCTGTTCAATGGATGCGGCTGGAGTTATAGTAACCATACGTCGGGAGCTTTTGTAATCCGGGGACTGTGAGTTGAATTCACATTAACATTGTTAGATGGTGATTAAGCGGCGGATGGGCTTCTGAAGAGAAGGATGACATCATGCAGAGACGATTGAAGCAAGCTTCAGACGGCCCAACCATGCCTCTGGAAAGGCCCCGCGTTGCAAGGTCCTATCTCACTTTCAAGCGAGACTCTAATTGGGGAAAGTGAGAGTGAAGGACATTTGTTTTGGCTGAGAAATTGGAATAGAAAAGTGCAAACGTTTGCGCGGTCTTCTGTTGAATTATCTCACTCCTTGATGTATATATATCACGAGGAACTTAATTGTTACAATAGACTATCGCCAGTTGTTGCAATGCGGCATGCGATCCACATGGAGATCTTTGTGTTTTGAAGAGCCCTGAGGATGATGCCCGCCTCTAGCTTGTTGTTGCATAATGTATGCGTTGGCCGATCAACTGGACGCTTGTCTTAAGTCCTCAACCCATGGTGGTATTTCTGAATTTTGAAGTGTCGTCAGGATGATGTCTGCCTCTGGCTTCTTTTAAGATCATGCTCCAGGCAATGCATGGCTTATTGTGGGGATGCCAGCCTTAGGGGCTCAACCTATTATTTTCAACGTCTTGTAGGTTGACGTGAACTGCCTCTTTTTTTTTCATTTTTTTTTTTGAACTGCCTCATTGCAGTTGTTTGGAAATTCTGAATGTGGATCAATCTGCGACCTTCCCCGCCGTCCCCCCSCTCCCCCCCCCTTCCCCCTCCGCCCCCCTGTCAGCCTGAGGATTTCTGCTCTACTTGTCTGCCCTGGGCATTTTTGCTTTTGTGGTCTTTTGCCATATCTTTCATTTTGCAGTTCAATGTTTTTGTTTTCCCCTTTTTTCTTTTCTTGCAGGCATTGCTGCCAAATAACAGCTGGCAAGGTTTATCAGTGAATCAGGTGCTTGAATGTCCGAATGTGCTAGATTGGTTGGCATGCCAAGTCCTGATAATTCTATTATTCGCCTTTTCTTGTTTCCTCGCCTGATGTCGCTCGTGCATATGTATACAGATTCTGTGTCCATCCCCTGACAGAGGACGAATGTACAAATACTCGCACGTCAGAGGCTGCTTTGACCACTGCCAAGGAAGCCTATGAAGCCTTGGGGCGAGGATTTGATGTGACACAAGACTTTCGGCTCGTGAAGTGCAAGGGTAGACCGGAGCAGAAGCTGGTGGCGATTGCCCGAGATCATCATGATCTGGTTATTCCTGGTGTTGGGACGCTATCGAATGTCTCTAGGGACATCAAGTACGACCGAGGGGAGCGCATTCGGCTCAAATCGGATGTTCTGACTTTCGATCAGGTGTGTACTTGCAAAGGATACGACTGCAGTTTGAGAATAAATGAGACTTTATTATCTTTGAGATGACCTCAAGCCAAAGAACGGAACTAGAACCTTTGTCTTCCATTTGGAGATTTGTATTCATCCCTCCCCCCAACTTACTCCCCCGCCCCCCTTCTCCCCCCGTCTATCCCCCACCCTGGAAATCACCATAAGGCCAGGGCTGCCACATGATGCCTGTCGTGTCGGAAGAGGGTCCGAAAAGTGGTGAAAGTGACTGGGGCAGGGAAGGGGATAAGGAGTAAAGAAGGGAGAGATGCAGTTACACTTCCTCTTTTCGCTGTTGTACTGAACAAGGTCTGGACCAGCGACATGGCGCAGACGTCAGCTAAGCAGGCCAGATATCCAGCAAAAAGATTCCATCTAAGTTATAGTGAAAAGAGGGACTCGGCATGAGGGGAAAAAAAAAAGAGGGACTCGGAATGAGGGAGGCTTAAAAAAAAAAAAAGGAGACTCGGAATGAGGGAGGCTAATTGTGGCTTCGTTGGTGGGGAGAGACTCACCTTGAAGTGGAAGATGCTCTGCAAGTGAAGAGAGGACTGTGATTTAGAGAGTAGCCTCTGCTCATTGGTGGCGATTAACCTGTAAGATGGTGAGGCAGGAGGCCAGATTTCCTAGAGGCATATCATCATGTGGGTACTGGCGGAATGTCAAATCTTGCGAGTCCTCTTTTCACATGTAGACTGATTTGTCTCTTTTCCCCTTTCATTTTGAAAGGTCCGAACATATACTTTGGAAACGCAGTATGCTGGTGAAAGAGTACACTAAAAGACCCCCTACCCCCTGCCCCCCCCCCGCCCCTCCTCCGCCCCCGCTTCCAGCTTCCACTTAGCAGAAAGTGACAAGCTACTGGCTTTCTGTCGAGCACGTTTGAACACCTATGCAGGCTCTTCGTTGTTTTCTATGTCCAGATGTCAAAGCGATTAAACAACGTTGTTTGAACCTATGCAGTCACTTTGACGAAGTGACAATGAACCTTCATTGTCACTTCGTCGAACCTATGCAGTCTCTTCATTGAACCTATGCAGTCTGTCGAGCACGTTTGAACCTATCCAGATGTCGGTCACTTCGTTGTTGTCGTGCAGTTTGAACTTATATTCTCTCCTCGTTGTCTTCTGTGTCCAGTTGTCAGAGCGATTCAACAACGTCGGGCGTCGGATGTAGCGACAATGAAGCGGGTTGTTGTCAAGCAAGTGGTTGAACTGAGCTAATGCCATTCTTGTCTTGTGTGTGCAGATGTCAGAGCGATTCAACAACATGGTGGGTATTGAAGGAGATGTGCCACTTGGACTTTTCAATGCGGCCTTCAACTTGCGGGGAAATGAGGCTCAGGAAACAAGGGCCATGGCCAAGGATGCCTGGATAATCACGCTCTATTCATTGCATCTGATGGCTCAGCCGCTACAGGTTGGTTGATCTAGACTCTAGAGGGAAGCTAGCCATAAGTTGTGCCCTTTTTCTTCCTTCGTTGGCAAGCATCACCGGAATTTTGTGGAAGTCTCAGGGCAGGCGGGCTCACATTAGGACTTTTACAGTTCTCTGTGGATGTAATTGTGGTCCAGTGCATCCAGGTTGGGTCGGAAAAGCGGTCATATACGTCCAGGAAAGTCCTAGTGGGAATATGCCCTCACAGCACCACATTGTTTACGTACTCCGACACAGACATCTTTGGAAATCACTGATTGTGAGACCAACTCGAAACACAAAAGCCTGGAAAATTGCTTCTTCCCCCCCCTCCTGCCCTGCATGAACGATAGATATGTTTGTCAACAGACTCAACAGGTATGTGTGCGTAATAATTGTGTATGAGAGATGTTCTCCACTTTTATCGAAATTCTCATTTAATTCATTTGACATGCACCGAGGGCATCTCACGTGTGTTTTTGTTGACGCAAGTTACAGAGCTGCTGCTTCTAAATCTTCTTCTTCAAGGCTCCTCAAGAAACAGGGTTGGTTGCCTGCATGTTTCATGGAGGAAGAAAGTTATCCCACACTCTTCTTCAATGCTTTGTGGTGGTGAGAGTATCCGTCTATGTGCTTCACCCCATTAACTCTTGCAAAACGGATGTTACCTGCATGCCAATGAGGCGAGTGATCTTGCGGTCTCTGAAAGTCCAGCAAGGGATTATATGGTTTTATATTGTAGGCCCTCACCTCTTTGCGAAAAGGGGTGCCATCCTACCTTCTTCCCCCGAATACAATGTACGATCATTATGGCTGTATGATCTAGACGGAAAGATGCCTCAAATACACAGCTATAATGACCGTACGTTGTATTCGGGGGAAGCCGGTAGGTGGTGGGGTTTTTAGCATTCAACGACATTTTTCTATGCATTCAATGGTTTGCCGGTATTGCTCCTCTGTGTGGTTTCACGGCGAGTATGCAGTCAATCGTCGATGTAGGTATCATTACTCAGGTGTTAATGCCTCAAGTCAGTATTCGATACAAGTCTATGGTCAGTATTTGATACAAGTCAATGGTAGTTTGTTTTATTTTATTTGCAGCAGTACTTTTTCATGCTTGTTACCTTCTTCTGACTTGAATAAAAAAGCACCCTTATCAACACTTTGCCACCGTTCCTCGGCTCATTGATTCTTGTATTTATGCTTATTTCAAGTTATTTGAAGTTATTTCTCAATTTCTGACACCCCTTGTAGTAGTTATGTAAGCACGACGTGTTGCTGTTCTGCTCCTTTTCTACGCGTTGATTGCCCTCGTTGATCATTATGGCCTGCCCTGTGTGTGTCCTGCGCCTCTTCAACAGCTGACAGAGGAACTTACACGAGCGATTCCCCGTACCTGGGAGCCGACGGAGCTTGCATCGTTTATCCAGAGGTTTGGAACACATGTCGTGACAAGTGTCCGTGTGGGGGGGAAGGACGCTGTTTTCCTTCGGCAAACACAGTCCTCTCTTCTTTCGCCAAGAGAAATCAGCAGAATAATTACAATGGCAAGTGAAATCAGATTCAATGACATTGGCGGCCCCGATTCCAAAGAAGGAAACAGGAAGCTTCAAGTAAAGGTAGGATCTGTTTTTCCTCTGCGAAAGGCTTTCGACCCGAATGATTGATTACCTACTACTACCTTCTTCACCCAAACACAACGCCCGGTCATTATAGCTGCATTTGGCACAACTTTCTGTCCAGATGTAGCGATAATTACCGGGCGTTTTATTCGGGTGAAGATGGTAGCCCCCAGAATGCTCTGGGAAGAGCGGTGTTCGGGCACCAGAATCTCGCAGGAACTTTGGGGTCGACGAAGGCATGCCCCTGATGTTCGAGAATGGAATGTATTGTCAATGTTATCACGGGTTCCGAGCATGTGCTGCTCCCAACAAGTAGGAAGGAGCCCTGTTTCATTAAAAAAAAAAAAAAAAAAAAAAAAAATCATGGGTGAACTTGGTGAAGGGCTACCAGTCGGGCTGCCGGGGTCACCGTATTTGACTTGACGGCCCGGCCGTACGAGGACCAGCAAAGGGCGCAGCAAAAAAAACAACAAACCTGAAAAATCTGAAAAAAACTACATGATGCACAAAAATAAACTGAACAACTTTTCCCTCAGGGTCGCATATAAATTCTTTACCAAATTTGAAATAAAAAAGTAAAATGAATATAAGTCGCCAAACAGAGCTGCCCGGTAAACCGTAGGCAGAGAGGGAGAAGAGGAAAACAAACCAGGGGCTGTGACAAACTGTTTCGTCGGAGTTTCGCCGACTCTTCAGGAGGCTGAACCCTTATATATTTTCTCTTAATTGCCCGGCCGGGCAACTTGCCCCTGGCATCTCTGGTAGCCTTGGGGTGAATGCATTTCCTTTTTGGGAGAAAAAGACAAAGCTGCCACATACAAAGCCAGTTTGCCACTGCCAGGATGTGAGTGCCACTCTCAGGATTCTGCTGGGCTTGCAGATCTCCACTTGGAAGGTCTGTAGTGGGACAGTCGTCAAGCTGCATCGTGACAACCGTGATCTATGGAACGTCGGTGATAGAGAAATCATGCCAGTTGCATCATTCTCCTTCTCCTGTGCCTTCATGATGTCGCGTAACCTTTTCTACGCCATGGTATAAACTTGCTCTTCTTGATTGTTAATGGAATCTATATATAACCTTGCAAATTCATTTTCTTTTTTGTCACGGGACCTTTTATGGATCTGAAATTTTGAACTTATAAAGTCACAGGCGTTCCAAGAGAGAGAGAGAGAGAGAGAGAGAGAGATTCTGTTCTTTACTTCGAACAAAGAAAAAAGGTCCTTGTTTTTTTTCCAAAACATTAGCAACAGGTTCAGTGAACCTTACAGAGTGATGAGGATCAGTCCTTGCACGCGGCTAACTTTGGTGGTGCTAAGCTTTGATTGAACATGTCCCCGGTCTTGTCCTAAGTTAATGGTTTCCGTGTGGGAATGCGAACGCGATACCATTGCAGCCTGCCCCTCACCCAGTTGGGTTTGTTTGTGGGCTTTTCAACTTTGGTTTCAAGTCGGTTGTGAATTCATTTGAAGTTCGTTTTCTTCTTCTTCGGTGTTCTCTTATGATGAATCTTTTCTGTTTTTTTTTTTTTTTTAAATAATCCTCATGTTTTCCACTGTTTGTAATGTTATTCAGGTTGTTTCCACGTTTTCTTTTTAATCCTCATGCTTTTGCTAATGCCCGTTGGCGTTTTGTTTTCTTGGTTGTTTTTGTTTTTGTCGTTGTTGTTGTGCAGAACGTTGAGTTGACGATACAGAGGAGAGGTGGTGATGAGACTGTCAAGGCACATCAACTATGGCTCGACTCCATCCCGAAGTTTCCAGACGCGATCGGGGTCACGTATGTTGCGATCACGGACTTGCTGGAGGGAATTCCTGGCAGTGATATGTTGAGTCATGCAATCAATCTGTACCTTCATTGTAAGTTGTTTCGGAGCAGTCCTGCTTTCTCTATTTCGTTGTTGTGCTACTTTCTGTATTTTGTTTGTGTTCGGAGACAATTGGAAATTAGAAAATTACCATCGTGAGTGCTATTGATTCTGCAATGGCCAGAGTGCAATGCAATGGGCAAGAATGTACCTGGGCACCAAGATGGCACGGTTGGTACATCCCTGAACTGTTGAAATACAGACCAGAGTTCGAACTCCACTGGAAGCAGATGAGTAAGATACTAGGAATACAAATTACCTAGGGCCGATAAGGTCCACGATTCTATCTCAAGGTGGCCGCCCTTTTGTAAATAGAAGAAGACAAGGGTGGAAGGCGTCCACCATGGGCAATAAGATTACGAGACTTGTTTAGTTGTCAATCTGTCTGAGGATACAAGGATTTATAATTGAACACCGATCATCTTGTCTAAATTTGAAATGATGAACAAGCGTCCCATGATGAAGACGGCATATGGATCTGGCTTCCCCACCTCTCTCTCTCTCTCTCTTTCTCTCTCTCTCTCTCTCTCTCTCTCTCTCTCTCTCTCTCTCTCTCTCTCTCTCTCTCTTCTCTCTCTCTCTCTCTCTCTCTCTCTCT